TGACATTTATAACATTTATATTAAAAAATGGGTTTAAAAAGATATTTATATTAAAAATAAAAGAAATTATAAATCGTTAAACTTAAACTTTAATAAATACTTGATTATTATCTATAAATTTATTTATTAACATACTAATAATCAAATATAGTTCATTAATAAATATTCTAATAATCAAATATATTTCTATTATGCATTTACAAATATAATATATATTATTACATTAGTCTCTAAGAAAGATATATTATAATAATATTACTATCAATATTCATATAATATATATATTAAAATATTGAAATTGTAATTTAGAAAAGTAATTTATAATAAATTTTGGCTTAGAAATAAATAAGATGTTTTTAAATAGAAATAAAACAAAAAAATTACTTTTAATATTGTTTAATTATTAATTTTTTACTAAAAGAGTAATGATTAATCTATAACACATTAATATATTAATTGTTTATTATTACAATTATTCATTATTTTTAAACAAAAAATAATAAATAAAATTTCAAGAAACTAATATTATTGATTATTTCCAAATACAGGTAATATTAGTTTCAAAAAATTTCTAATACGAATAAAGTTAAAATTATTAAGTTTTTTATGCTTTTTTTTTTTAATTTAGTCTTTTTTTTAAAAGGTTTTTAGAAGAAATAGTTAATGATAGGATTCTTTATTTTGATTTGTTATTTATTAATAAAAATAAAAGAATAATACCATGAAACACAAAAGTAAAAAATAGTAATTTAATTAAAAAAAAAATATTTATATTAGTATTAATAACAATTAATGAATTTAAAAAAAAAATATAATATCTAGTAACAAAACAATATATAAATTTTATTTTATTAAAAACAATAGTAACAATGAAAAATAAAAAATAAAAAGAAATAAAAATAATTACTTTATTATTTGTCATTTGTCATTTGTATATATATGAATACATAGCTCAAATGATTTATTATTAATTAAATTAATAAATAATGATAAACTTTTTTAAATTAAAATAAAAACAAATTTTATAATAATAATAATAAAAAAAGTAAAACATTATAAAAAAGATATTAAAAATAACGGTCATACCATAATAATAATGATAATTACTTCTAAAAATAATTTTTTTTACTTATTATGTATAAATAATTTTTTTCAACTTATTATTATGTATAAATAATTTTCTTTTTTTTACTTATGTATAAATAATTTTTCCTACTTTTTATGTATATATTATAAATAAGAATAATCATATTTAAATGTTGTATTTTTATATAATTTAATGATTAAAACAATTAGCAAAATAAAATTTTTTTAGTAATTATAAAGATATTTCTTACTTATATTATTTTATATTAGCAATTTTTTTTTATTTCATATAATAAATTATTAGAGTAAAATATCTTTTTTTTAAAAAAAAAAAAAAAATAAAAAAAAAATAAAAAAACTTGCAATAAAAATTATATTAATAATAAATTAATCTATAGTAATTATGAAAAATTAAATGAAAAAGAATTTTTTAATAAAAAATGAATAATTAAATTATGCAAAAAACAAAAAAAAATAAATTATCTATAAGAATAGATAATATTTTATCATATAGTTTTCAATTGAAAAGACAATATTTACTTTAGTTGATATTATATTATAATTATATAAGAATTTTATAAAACTATTTAAATATTTTCATATAATAATAATATCATAATTTATTTGAAAAATATTATTATGTTAAATATAATATAATAGAATTGATTTTAATTGTAATAAAAAAAATATAAATAGGGAAGGATTTTTCACCTTTTAATCGATAGTTATAAAATCATAAAGATTTCAATAAATAAATAAGCTTTAATACAACTTCTTAGTAATAACTTCTTTGAAAACCAAAAATATTAAGACTAAAAAAAATGAAATCATTATCTTTTGTTTTAGTTATTCTTACTTTATTATCTTGTGTCTTTAGTAAAAGTATTGATTTATCTTCTAATGATGAAGAAATCAATTCTTCATGGAAAACTGTATTTGAATTATTGAATAATTTCAATATTCCTGTTGACTACATGCTCCAAGATATAGAAACTTTAGTTAGTGATCCATCTTTAACTATTAAAGATTCTTTAGTTATGAATTCGGTTATCACTCATCTCTTTGATAATGAAAATATTTTAAATAATGAAAATGGATTACAACGTCGAAAAGACAATCCATGTCGTTGTAATTGTCAAATAGCTGGTAACTGTCAATGTGAATGTGGACCTAATGTTGTTCCTGTTAGTGAAGAAGAAAAAAAGTGTTTCAAAAAAGCTACAGGTATAGATCTTGATAAACTTACTACTGAAATTGATGGTGCCTTTTCTATTGTAAAGTTTATTTATAAAGTTATGCGTTCTACACCAAAAGCTATAGTAGCTGTTGCGAAATATGAAGCTTGCTTAATTGGCAGTTTATAATAATTTATAAAAAAAAAATTTATAATAAAAATTATAAAAATTATAAATTATTTATATAATTAAAATATTACTATATAAATAATCATAGAATAAAATTTTGAAATAATCGTAATATTATATTTATATAATTAAAATATTAAATATATAAATATTGTATTCTAGTTATAATTATGCAAATAGATAATTATATAAACAAATAAAATATAAAATAATAAAAAGAAAAAAGAAAAAAAGAAATACAATTAAATAAATAAAAATTACATACTATTTCATATATGAAAAAAATTATAAAATAAAATCTATTTAAATTTTAAAATAAAAATAAATACTTATTTCTTCATATGAAAAAAAATTATAAAATAAAATTAATATTTAAATTTTAAAAAAAAATATTAATTAAAGAGTTTTTATTATAGTTTTGTGTTTATGTTTAGTTGTTCTTTGTTATAACAATGAATAAAAAATTTTTTCTTTTGATTAATGGAGATTTATAAGTAAAAAAAAAAAATGAACTTTTAATAACCTATAAATAGTTATTATAAAAATAATATTTTATATTATTTAATGTTCAATTGAAGTAGATATTAATATAAAAAAAGTAAGATATAATTACATTAACTAAATTGGTAAAAAATATAAAAAAAAATAATAAAATGTTTAACTGAATTAGAAGCAAAATATAAAAAAAGTAACAATAGAGAATCATTATTATTTAAAGCATGTAAAAATAAAAACTTAATATTTAGTAAAAATTATTTTAAGTATGGAACATATATATAAAATGATGATTATGAAATAAATATATAATTATAATTATAGAAATATATATTTAATCAAACATTGTTCAGATATTAATAAAAAGCAATGATAATGGTAAAACACTACATATTATTTGAAGTTTTTCAAGAAAAAATTTATAAATTAAATATTTAATTGAACATTGAATTTGATATTAATAAAGAAAATTGATATATTAATATATAAAATTGTTTAAAATATTTTTATAAAAAAGAAAAATAATAATATTAATAATAAATAAATATTTTAAAAAGAAATAATATAAACATATTATTGTTTTTTTTAAAAAAAAAAAAAAATACTTTTTTGATTATTATCTTAATTATTATGAAAATTTTAAATTTAATAAATTTTTAAAAATAAATTTAACATTATAAGGTTTTGATAAATTAATTAAATCTTATATTTTACAACTTTAAAAAATTTTTTTTTTTTTGGTTACAAATTGAAAAAAAAATAAACTTTTTTTAAATTATTCCACTAAATTTTATCATTACTGAATTTATATAATTAACTAATTTATCAATATATAATTAATGAATTATTTTATTTAAAATAATAATAATTATTTTTATTCGGTAATATGTTTAATTAAAAAAATTAATCACTTTTAAAAATTATATATAAGTCATAAAAAAGAAATAATTAAAATTCTTTTTTATCAATATAGTAATAATAATAATAATAATAATAATAATAATATAATAATAATAATAATAATAATAATAATAATATAATAATAATAATAATAATAATAATAATAATATATATATATATATATATTATTATTTAATAATATTTATTTAATATATAAAATATATTTGAATTTTACGAAATTTCATTTCATAGAATGTAGAGTTGTAATATATTATTTTTTTTTTAAAAATATAAATATTATATTATATTAAATATTATATACTTTCTATTAATTATAAAGGGTTAGATTATTTTGATTTATAATTTAATGGCTGTCCAAACCCTTTCCTTTTAATTAATTATATTATATACATTTTTTAATATAATTAAATATAAGAAATATCAAAAAAATTTAATTATTAATATTAGAAAAATAATTTAATTGGTTTTCTTATGAACATAATATTTAAATTCATTAATATTTGTGAGAATGAAATGTTAAGGATTTGAATGGATTATAGATATAAGCCACATTATATCTATTAAATATTTATTATTCCGCATGTTTATGCGCCCCAAATCCTTATACAATTTAATTATTATTAATTTTATTAATAATACAGTTGAATATGAATTATACTTTTATTTTATTAACAAATTATATTCTTATCTTATATTATTTTTAATATATATTATTATAATTAATATAAATATTAATTTACTTATATTATTGTATTGTTCAATGAAAATGTATAAAAGATTGATGAAATATGTATTCTTACATTCTTTGTAAGATTATTAACCTAATAATAATCTAATAAACTATAATTATAAAATAATTAAACAAATTTAAATAAAGAAACTATATTTATAATAAAATTTATAATAAAATTTATATTAGTGAACACCCTACGTATTAGATTATTGAGCATTTCGACCAAGTTAAACTTTAAACCAAATCAAAACTTTACATGAAAAAAAGTGGTTTACGCCAAAATTTAATTATATTCTACAGCTATTTTTTTGAAATTAAAGAAATTCGCATTGGTCCAGTGGCTAGGATTCCACGCTTTCACCGTGGCGGCCGGGGTTCGATTCCCCGATGCGGAATGTAAAGCTCGCGTAGCCTAATCGGATAGGGCGTCAGACTTCTAATCTGAAGATTGCGGGTTCAAGTCCCGCCGTGAGTGCTCGTATTTTTACTTTTTTTTTTTGAATTTTAAATGAATAATACTAATTTTATTTTATTTTTTTATTTATTAATATTTTTACTATATTAAATTAATATTTTCAATCAATATTTTCAATATTTTTATTTCTTTCTTTTTATTATTATTTATTTGATATAATTAATTAATTTTATATTGCTTTTTTATTTTTCTTTTCAAATATTTCAACTTTTTAATATTATCTAAAAAAATTTTTTTTTAAAAAATATCTATATAGAATGAAAAAAAAAAATAATAAAAAAATTTATAATTAATATTCAATACATTAAATATATTTTTTTTTATAATTTTTATTATAAATGAAATTTTATTAATAATTAAGTAAACAATATTTTTTTTAATATAGAAAAAGAATTTTTCTTTTTACATTTTTTTTTTACTATTTCTAAAAAGGTATATTTATAATTTCTCTATTATTTAATATATATATATATTTATTTCTTTTCAATTTGTTTAGATAATTTGTAAATTTTAGTAACAGCCATTTCTAATTCTTCCATAGTTAATGTTTTATTTTTAATAGCTTCAAGAACATTTTCATAATCAGCTTGAGATCCTGGCATGAAAAGATCACCAGTAGCTTTAATAACATTAGAAGCAGATGGGTTTGGATATTTATATTCACCTTCCATTGCTATAACCCAATCAGTCATAACAAGACCATCAAATCCAAATTCATGTCTTAAAATATCATTAGTTAATTCTTTACTTTCACTAGTGTGAACTCCATTAAGTAAATTAAATGATGTCATAATAGCTTTTGGATCAGCTTCTTTAATAGCCATTTCAAATGCTTTTAAGTAAATTTCTCTCATAGCTCTTTCAGATACATTACTACTATTAAGATAACGATTAGTTTCTTGATTGTTAGCAGCAAAATGTTTAAGAGTAACAAAAGCATTCTTATGTTCTTGAACGCCATTAGTAATAGCACTAGCCATAATACCACTAATAAATGGATCTTCAGAATAATATTCAAAGTTTCTACCACATAAAATACTTCTATGAATATTTAAAGCTGGAGCAAGCCATAAATTAACTCCAAACATTACCATTTCACTACCAACGATATCACCACAAGCTTCAGCAAATTCTTTATTCCAACTTTGAGCAAGAGCTGTACCAATTGGAATAGCAGAAGCATATTGATGATAAATAGTATCATTTACTGATGGTTTTGGCATACTAGCATCAACTAATTGTAACATTTCTGGTGGTAATAAACTCATCATAGATTCTGGTAAATTACCTTCAAGATTATGAGCTTTACCATCACTATCAAGGAAATAACTTTTTGCAATTCTTACACCAGCTGGACCATCAGCCATAATAATTGGTTTTAATTTACCATCAAGTGTATTAGTTTCAGCAGCAGCACCTGCAACAGTAGTAACAGCTGCACCAATAAGACTTTCAATAAAATCTTCAACATAACCACCAATAACTAATTTAGCTTTTTCTTCAAGAGTTAAAGCTTTAACTTCCTTAGCAATTGGATATGAATAATCATAATCAACAGTTTCTTTCTTAACTTTTTTAGCATTAAGTGTAAATGTTTTAACATTACTTAAATCTTCTTTCTTACTATTTATTTTTGGAACGTAATCTTCAAAACCTGGATCTCCTAATTTATTTTCAACTTTTCTAACATCAATTCTAGATTCAACTTTAATAACACCACATGGTTTAGTATTTCTACTAGAATTACCAACACGAACAACATAATCACCTTTATCTAAAATGTAAGTAGCAGTCTTAGTATCATAACTAGCAAAGTCAGATAATTTGAATTTAATAGTAAGTGTTTGCTTTTTATTTGGTTTTAATTCATCAGTTTTAGCGAAACCAACTAAAATTTGGTATGGTTCATCTAAAGTAGTGTTTGGCTTAGATAAATAAACTTCCATAACTTCTTTACCCTTGTATTTACCAACATTCTTAACATTAGTTTTAACTTCGAAAGTTTCACCATTTAATTTTGAAGATTTAATTTCATATTCAAAATCAGTGTAACCTAAACCGAAACCGAATGGATACATAACATCAGTATTAACAGTATCAAAGTAACGATAACCAACATAAATACCTTCCTTATAATTAGTATCATCTTTTTCAGCAAAATCACCAATAGTTTGATAATCTTCATATTTAGTCCAAGTAGTAGCAAGTTTACCAGATGGATATTTAGCACCAGTAATAACATCAACTAAAGTATTAGAAGTATTAACACCAAGTTGAGATAAAATTAAAATATTTTTAACATCATCAAGATCTGATAAATCAATTGGACCACCAGTATTTAAAACAAGCATGAATTTTTTGAAACCTTTAGCTAAATCATTAATCATTTTTCTTTCAGTATCAGTAAGGAAAAGATCACCCTTAATTGGTTTTCTATCAGTACCTTCACCTGAAACTCTACCTAAAACATAAATAGCAAGATCACCTTCTTTAACGTAAGGAAGATCATATTCTGGTTCAGACATAATAGCACCCATATTTAAAATACCACCACCATTATTATTTAATTCTTCTTGGAATTCTTTATTAGCTTTTTCATAAACTTCATCATAAGCATCAATGAAATCTTTAGTTAAAACTTCAAAACCTGCATTAGTGAAAGCAGTTTCAATATTGACGAATTCACGTAAATTAACATCACCAGAACCTGTACCACCTTTTAAAGTTTTTCTTACAGCATTACCATATAAATAAACTTTTCTAGTGTCTTCTTTAGTAAGAGGGAAATCACCATTCTTTTTTAATAAAACAGTACATTCCGAAGAATAACTAGCTAAAGTTTTAATATGTTCTTTTTCATATGAATAAACTTCATCCCCTGAAAATCTAGTAAATCCTTTATTCTTTTTTTTAAAACCTATATATTATAATTAAATTTTTTTTTAAAATTAAAATAAAATAAATAATTAACTGATTGATTAAAATTTAATTATGCTTCATTTTATTATGTTTTTTTTTATTTATTAAAACAATAAGAATAAATCAATATATAAAATAATTAAATTATATATTTCAATAAAAATTACATCTTTTTTCCACGGAAGAAGCAAATGCCAAATTAATAAATAATATGGCAATTGAAATTGTAATTAAATTTAGAAATTTCATACTATATTTTTTTTTCTATATATATATATATTATATTTCTGTTTATTATATTTTTCTTTTATGATTATATTATAATTTTTTTTTTGTTGACTGCTCCAATAAGGGATAATTTGGTCTATTTATACTGAAAAAAATTTTTTATAATATATATCTTTTTCTATTTTAATTAATTAAATATTATTCCACCATATTAAAGAATTATCTAAATAATTTTTATTTATTGATAATTAAAATAACTATAAAAAGCCAATTATAATAAATTATAAATGCAAAAATTTTATATTTTAATTTTTTAAATTTAATTATAAAATCTTAAATCGTAAAAAAATTTATCCATGTATATACTTTTAATTTAACATATATATATATTCTATTATATTAATATATAAATAATATAAAATGAATTAATTATACCAAATGAATTTAAATTATAGTCTGATTTAAATTAACCAAATAAAGTTAATCATTATAACTGATAATAAATTAACCAAATAAAGTTGATCATTATAACTGATAATAAATTAATCAAATAAAAAAAAAAGTCCAAAAATTTTTTTTTTTTAATTTATTAGAGCCATAATTAAGTTTTATGGAAAAAAAAGAATGAATGATACAAATGTTCTATATTATTTATTTTAAATTTATATAATTTTCATAAAAATAATTAATATTTAAAAGTAAATTACTTTTAATCATCACAACAACAAAGTGATGAAACAGAAAAATTAAATTATAAAATATAACCTAATAATTAAATAAATAAATAAATTAAAAAAAAAAAAATAAAAATCAATTAAATAAATCTTTGAATTAATATTCAAATAATAATAACTTATTTATTGTTATTTTCTTTTCTAATATTTTTATTAATTATTGAATTTAATTTTTAATATTATTGTTATTAATTGTACTCTATATTAATTATTATAAATGGACAACCTATAAAATATAATTTTCAATTTACTTTTATAATTAATATTTTAAAAATACATATGATATGATATTAAAAAACTAATCAAAATATAAAAAATCTTAAATAAGACATAATAATAAATACTAAATTCATTAATAATATTAAAATTTATATCAGTAATATAAGTAACTAGTAAATAATAATACATATTAATAAAAAAAAGCATTCCATTAATATAATTTTATTATTATTTACATTATATAATTGTATTAATTATTATTTAATAATTATAAAAAATTATTTGTATTATTATTATTATTCAAAGTATATTCTATATCTTTCTTATTTATAATAATAAAAAAATTTTTTTTTTCTTTTTCTTTTTTTTTTTTCATTTATTATATATATATATATTAATTTTTTTAAAAAATTTAATATTATTATTATTACTATTATTATTTATAATTAGAAATATAAAAAAGCATATGATACATGATTTCTATTAATGAATTTAATAATTTTTAGTTAATAATTAAAAATTCTTTTCTACTCCTTTTTTTATTTATTCTATTTCTACTTAATTATATATTTTATTATTTTTTATTTTTATTTTTATTTATTTATTTATTTGTCTATTTATTTATTTGTATGTACGTTTTTTATTATTATTTTATTAAAATTTCATTATTTAAAAAATATTACTAATTTCAAATATTTTATTTAAATATGAAAATATTTTTACTTTTTATAAAATACCAAAAATAATAAAAAAGAAAGATTATTTATTTAAAATAGAAAATTCAAGCGACAGCTGCAGGGTTTGAACCTGCGCAGGCAGAGCCTATTAGATTTCAAGTCTAACTCCTTAACCACTCGGACAAACTATCTTTCATTGTTTCGATGATACAAGATAGTTATA